ACACATCTCTCACCAGAAGAATATCCGCCACGATGGCCCAGTTCATGGACAGGAACGTCTCCCCGAAGAAAATGAAGACCTGGAGGGACGAACAGAAAAGATATCAACGAACAACCAGCAGGTGGAGTTGTTCTAAAGGTGTGTCGGCCATCTTTGTGTCGTGATTAATGCTGAAACTCAAACACTGACACCTTCCACGACCCTCTGCACAGATGGATGCATGTGTGGAGGCTGGGCGTTAAATAGTGACGGGTGCATGGACAGATGTGTGGACGGGTGCGTGGACGGGTGCGTGGACGGGTGCGTGGACGGGTGCATGGACGGGTGCATGGACAGATGCGTGGACAGGTGCGTGGACAGGTGCGTGGACAGGTGCGTGGACAGGGGCGTGGACAGGTGCATGGACAGGTGCGTGGACAGATGCGTGGACGGGTGGCTGTGATTCTATGCAGGACTCACATATGTTGCGACGGTGCTCGCCTGGGCGAACATGATGGCGAGGTAGAGGAACGGTGCACAGAGGAGCAGACCGGCGGCACAGACCAGCGGGTCGGCTCGGGCCGTCTTCTTCCTCAGCTGTCGGCTCACCTGCACGCCGCTGGCCACACCCAGCACGCCGGTGACACAGGTGATGGCCCCAAAAATCAGACTTGGGGAGAAAAAAAAAACTAAACCATCAGGATGCTGCGTTCCTCCATCGAGGTCGAATTTAATGAGTAACCGCCCGCCCCGCCCACCTCAGATGTAGAGTCACGTTTACCTGTCTGAGGACTCGCAATGAGCCTCCATGCAGGGAGCCCTCTCCCCGTTGAAGACGGCCGCCCTGAAGAGGAACGTTGGCGCCCAGAGAGCCAGAGAGCCCGTCACAAACGCCACGGCCGTGAAGCCGAACGTGGACAACATGAAGCTGTAGCTGCAGAGGAGAGATGGAAACCAGCTGAACGTCAAAGCATTAAAACTACGGTACGGCTTTACCAAAGAGACGCCGTGACAGAGCGGCGTGGGCTCAGCTGTGTTGGGGGGAGGAGAGGAGAGTATTTAAATGAATCTGAATGAGTCCCATTATTAAACCCAGTGAGTGACTGAGTGTGCACAACAGCATCCGTCATCAGTCCGTTACACGCCATGAAGAAACGTAACGTAGGATCACGTTGTTCACTGGGAGTCGTCGTGGATGTTGCCCACAGGCGTCTGTTCACAGGGTCGAGATCTGACGGGAGCCTAAAAGCTGCTCAGACTTCAGGTTTATAAGCCGACCCGTCAGATTGACCCGGAGAACAGCTCCTCCGCCCTCTAACCGACGACTTCACCCTCCTATCAGAAACGTGACAGCTGGCTTCCCTCGGCCTGAGCTGCCACGCTGTGTTCAGAGGGAACCGCAGATTTAAAACCTGCAATTACACCATTACTCGCGCCCTCATCGCGTTTGCTCATCTTTGACCCGGTCATTTGGTAGTTTGAGTCGGTCATTACTGAAACGAGCTGTCTGCGTCCTTGTTTAGCCACGAACAGCAGACCAGAACCTTCCTCTCCCATCAGGACGAGACCGCAGCTTCTCGCCGAGTCGTTGTGGAGATGTTCAGAGCCTGCAGCTCACTGCAGCATGTTTCTGACTGATGGATGGAGACGATGTGATCACTGACAACTTTATATTCTGAGCCTAGAAATAAGCTGGAATAACTGAGGCCAGAGCGTCTTCTGAGAATAGCGTTGACCTACTTCTTGCTGAGGTCACGCAGGTCGGCGAGCCAGCTGGTCTGGTGCAGGTGATTCTCGGGTCGGGCCTCGACGGCTCCTCGTTTCGGCTCCTTCACCACAAACAGCAGCAGCAGCACGGCGATCAGCCCCAAGCCCGGAGTCACCTGAAGGAGGAAGGACAACGCAAACGCTCATCAGCCGGGGAAACAGCAGGAGACCACACAGCTGCAGCAGATGTTTGTCCGGCTCACCCGCAGCGCCCAGTGCCAGTCCTTCGCCCTGCTGCTGACCTGCGAGCCGACGATGTAGCCGAGACCGCTGACGGGAGGAGGAGACAAAGAGAGGTCAGCTATAACACTTCCTGTGTGACAATGAAAACTCCCAGGAAGTTCATTCATGTTAACCACATAAATATTCGAGGGAACGAAGGAAGTTTAATGATGTGGATTTTCAGGTGTGATTTAATAAACACCAATAATATAAATATTTAATTATTTAATTTAGTTATAATTTTGAGTTTTTACTTCCTGGATCGTCGGTAAATGTCGAGTGAAAGTTAACGTTTCTGCAGCTACCTGCCGACGGGGATGGCAAAATAAAAGATGGAGAGCATGTTGGTCCTCTTGCCCTTCACGTAGAGGTCGGCGATGATGGTCGGGGCGATGGTGGAGTAGCTGGCCTCGCCGACGCCGACCAGGCCTCGAGTCAGCAGCAGCGCCCAGAAGTGCTGCGGCAGGAGAGCACGTGTGTTTGTGGGACATTCAAACCTTCACAAAAGTTTTCCTCCTGAGTTCAAACGGTTCTCTCACCTCTTCGGGCGTGTAGGAGCTGGCGAGCGTCACCAGCGACCAGAACGTTATGCCGCCGCTCATGATGTACTTCCTGTTGTACCTGTCGCCCAGGTAACCAAACACAGGAGCCAGGAACATGTAGCTGCAGATAAAAACTGGAAGGAAGCGCAAAGGTGAGAGCCGGAGTCAGGAAGTGAAACACCCGAAAATGTGACCAAAGAACACCTGTGGTCATGTGACTGCAGTCAGTATTTACCAGTAACTGTGAGACAGAAAAACCTGTCCCACAGCACATGTGCACTCGAGAAGGTTTATATGTAGGTTAGTTTATGGTTCCAACATGAAGAACACTTCTACCAACTAGTCATGTGTCGGTCGCCGACTCTTTGAAGTGAACGACGCGAGTCGGCTCCTTATTGGGAGCCGTGGGGTTTCTTTTTTCTTTCTCTCTCTCTCGCACTTATTTCAGCACGCGAGCCTTGTGCTTTACGCTGAGCAGAGGGGGGAGGGGCCGTAGTTACACTCAGTAGCACAGGAACAGAGCGGGAGGGAGAGAGAGAGATCCAGGGACAACAAGGTCACATTAGAAAGGTATGGTAATCATCCACAACTATTTTCAGCTGCAGATGATGGATTCAGGAAGTTTATTCATGCAGGTCCATATGACAGAGAATATTATTTAATTGTGTTGTTTCATTTTAAATTTGTTTAAAAGGAAAAAGCTGAAAATTTAAATAGTTGGTTTTTGTATTATATGACTTATTTATTACATTTTATGTGGAGTGAATAAATAAAAGTATATTTACGGTG